ATTTTGCCTATCCAAGATATAATATCTTTCCATCTTCTAAGGTCTTCTTCAATTTCTTTCTTTAGTGTTCTGTAGTTTTCACTGTAGAGGTCATTTGCCTCCTTTGTTGATAAATTATATTTGCTTTCAGTTTGTAGAGAAAACTAAGTTGACAAAAGAATCATTTCTCCTAAATCTAAAATTTGTGACAAAGTATATTGTCCTCATTTTTTAAAAATTAAATGGATAAACTGGAGTCATTGAGTAAATTCAGTACATTTATGTATTATGTTGTATTTTGTTGGATCTTTGAGATTTCACTTTATCCTGAATTTCTTAGCAATATAGTACCAATGAAGAAATAATTGGTAAGCTAATTTCTTATGAATGATTAAGGAATTTAGTAATGTTTAGAGCACATTAGTTGTCTATTTAATTACCTAATCATTTAGAGATTTTAATTTAAATCCTAATTTAGACAATATAATTTTTTGAAAGATATACTATGCTTATGGTACAACGTTTTATGTAGAATCTTTTCCTCAATCCCTTCCCCTACTTCCCCCAATGAGGTTTACTTAAATGTCCAAATTTGACTTGTGTTTTTAAAAATTTTGAAAATGGCCTTTAATTTTTCTCTTAAATTATGATCTCATTGTAGAATAATATGTATAATATAATACTGCTGTATATTAAAATATATTGAAGAAATATATTTTAATATACAGCTATTATATATATTATACAAAATGAAGCAATATTCATTTTGTATAATATCAAGGATACTTAAAAATACTTTCAAAAATATCTTATTAATCAATAGGAAAAATTTGATCGTTCTGTGACTCCACATTCATAAGTTGTAAAAGTATAAGGAAAGGAACTCAAAAGGGAAGTGTATAATTGAAAATGTAAGAAACATGGAGAACTCAAGTTTTTTTTTCTTTTTCAAAAACATATCATGGCTTGTTTGAACATTATTCACTTTTTGTGTAATATAAAATGTGGAGTGGACATTTTTCTATACTCTGGTAATGTGATAATTATTTTGAAACATAGATCAGCATCCAACATTTATCCTTTAACCTTCCAAAGTCATGATCTATAGCCAAGAGCTCCTTTAAGGTGCATGCTTTTGCTGTTGTCACTTCCTCTGTCTCATCTTCATTCTTTTTTTGAAATAACCAATTCTTTATTCACTTTCACTAAATTTCTGTAGTGGCCTGTCTTTAGTCTTTCAAATAGCAGCAGTGTTGTTAATACAATCAGCTATTTCTTCTATAAGTTCACTTATTTTTAAGTGAATTTCACTTCCAGGATTAGCATGTCTTATTTCTTTTCCTGCAATTTCAGTTTCATTGTCCAATTCCCTCTTTAACCTAAATGTTAATCAAAATATAGATGAATAAAGAAAATGTATGTAGAGAGTAGAATAATATTCAGCTTTAAAAAGGAAGAAATTCGGTTATTTGTGATAAAATGGATGTAATTGGAGGACATAATTCAAGCATAGAAAGACAGATGCTGCATGTTCTCACTTACAGGTGGGCTGGTAACAATTGAACTTATAGAAGCAAAGAGTAGAATGACTGGTATCTGCTGCTGGGTTGACAGGAATGGGGAGAGGATGATCAGAAGATGCAAACTCTTGGGAAGAGTGTTTTTAGTGAACTCAAATTATTCATTTTTGTAAAGTTCAGTTCCACATGTCTTGATTACTGGAAGACAAACTAGACAATTGTAGGCTTTGCTATTGGGTATAATGTTAATAACAAATGTGCAGTGACTGTTATATTGTAGATATGAGACATCTGAGATAATGCAAAAAGCTTCAGAGGTAAAAATATTAGGAGAGTTTTAACATAATCAGTGGAATAATTCACTAATGGATTAAGTAGGTGGTAGCTTAGAAAGGTAGGTTATACCTGGAGGAAGTAGATCACTAGGGGTGTGCCTTTGGGGTTTATATTTCCCTGTCTAGAAACAACCTCTCTTTTCTGGTTTCTGTGTCTTGAGCTGATTCTATCATCATGACTCTCCTCTATGATATTCTGCTTCACCTGGGGCCGAGGGCTATGGAATTGGTCTGGAAAAATGGAATGAACCTCTAAAATCATGAGCCAAAATACACTTTTCCTCCTCTGAATTGTTCTTGTCGGGTATTTTGGTTGCAGAAACAAAAAGCTAACTAAAACAAAAATTGTGAGTTGGGGATGTAGCTCAGTGGTAGAATGCTTGCCTAGCATATGCAAGGTCCTCAGTGCCACCCCCCACACACCAAAAAAAAAAAAAGTAAAAATTAGTACCAGAAGTGGAGTGGAGTTGTTTAGTACCAGAAGTGGAGTTGATTATTGTTTATGTGACTAACTTGACTGCATGGTTCAGAAGCCTTTGGATTTTGTTTGTTGGGGGGACATACTTTGAAAAGTTAAAAGATGCAAGCTGGAAAACTTTTTAGAATGTTGCAAGCAGAGCTTAATGGGCAACTCTGGTTGGGCTCAGAAGATACAATGTCAACAGGATTGTGGACAGTAAAGAATGGATTTTTGAGGTTTCAGAGGAGGAGAATTACATGGAAAATTGAAGAAGAGGCCATTTATGTTATGTTCTCCCAAAGAACTTCTCTACATTTTCCCATGTCCTGAGATTTTCTGAGAGTCTGAATTTAAAGATGATGGACCAATTAATCTGGCTGAGAAAATTTCAAGGCAGCAGAACATACAGGGGGTGGCATAGATATTTCTGGTGTCTTTTAAGCAAGTTTACTGTGATGATCAGGAGCAGAAAGAAAAGCAAAAAAAAAAAAAAAGATTTAAAAAGCTATCATTTTGGCCAGGAAAGTGCAAGTGAAACTGGGGCTGAGAAAGCTGTAGTCCTTAAAGTCATTACAGTCACTAAAGAGATGTGAAGTAGTTTGCACAGAGACACAAGGAAAGGTGCCTGGAGGGCATCTCAAGAATTTGCAAGACCATACCCATATCAGTTTCAAGGACATAAAACTAAAACTTCTTTGAGGAGGGAGCTGAGTGCATTTTGTTTGCAGAGGGTTGCCTAAGAAGTTTTTCCATCATGCTTAATTTCCTAGCAATTCAAAAACTACTGCAGCTATGGTACCAGCAGGTAGATGCTAATTGAGATGGCAACAGGCTGTAGTGTTAATTCTATGGTGAATGTTCTGAAGGATGTAGGATGCTGAAATTAGAGGGTCATGGAGGCTTCCAACAAGATTTCAAAAGAAAGTCTAGAGTGAGGGTACAGACAAAGTCTAGCAAGATCAGAGCTCCTTAGGTCTTCCCCAAGAGGGTGATGTATAAAGATATGAGATAGAAATCAAAGCTGCAATGGAGATGAGAGAGAGAGACAGATAGATAACACTAATAACAAGAAATGTCTGCTAAGGAAAGCTGCAGGAATGGAGCAGAAGAAGAGAGAAGCCATCTAGCCTGTAACTAGCAAGGCCATAGGAGAAAGCTACAAGAGCCCTTTAAAGAGAACATCACAAAGCCCTCTGCTTCAGATGGTGAACATGGAGCTACAGGACTTGTTTGCCCAGTTGAATTTCAGTCTTGCTTTGTTTCCATCCCATTTTTCTAAGCCCCCATTTCTCCGTTCTGGAATGGAAATCTTTGTATATTGGATATGTACAACTTGCTTTTGAGATTTTACAAGGGCTCATGCTGAGAGTTTTTCTTTGAGTTTCTGAGAAGACTATGAACTTGGACTCTTGTACAAAGCTGGAATGGTTGACTATGGGAACTCTTGGAAATGGACTAAATATACTTTTCATTGTGAGATGAGCATGAACTTTTGGGGATTAGGAGTGGAATATTCTGCTTTTTATAGAGAGTGTCGTTCAGAACCTCATGGGTAAAACAATGCAAGAAATTTTGGAGGTAAAATGGTAAAGTTAGAAGACTTTTAACCTAATCAGTGGATTGATAAACTGATATATAAACTTGAAGGTAACTATAGGAAGGTAAGGTGTAGCTGGAGGAAGTAGGTCACTGGGGGTGTATCGTTGGTGGTTTATATTTTGTACCTGGTCATCTGAACACTCTCTCAGTCTCGCTCTCACTCTTCTCTTCTTTCTCTCTCTGCCTTTTGATTACCAGATCCTGAGCTGCTTTCCTCCACTATGCTCCTCCACCATGATGTTCTGCATTATCTTGGGCCCAGAGTTATGGAGTCAGCTGACCATGTACTGAACCTCTCAAACGGATACACTTTTCCTCCTATAAATTTTTTTGTAAGGTATTTTGGTCACAGCAATGAAAATCTGACTAACATAGTGGCCAATCACCAACAGGGCTTAAAAGAAATGAGGTAACCAGTCATTGATCAGATTGTGCCTCTGTTTATGTACATAACAATTTGTGGATTGAACAGCAATAGTATAGTTTGTGCATTATGCAGTTATAGTTAATATAGTGTGGAAACTGAAATTGGATCCATGTTATTGGAAAATTTCTTTTGAATTGTGGTGGTTGATATTTATAAATGTTGGAACTGTGCAAATCAAGAACTGTCTGTAATGAAAGCTCATTTGTTGTTCTGCTACCTAGAAAAGCTCCTGTTAAATTTTGTATTATATTCAACATGTTTTGATGCCTTAGAACGTTTATTTAAATGTAATTTTCCTGTTTATATATATGTAATTTTCCTGCTTATATAAATTTATATTTTTTTCTTTTCAAAAATATTAAGGTATAATAGATTCTAATTTTTAATAATACTGATTTTGAAAATCAGACATAAAAGATAATTATTTTACATTGAATTCACTAGTGCAAAGCTTTTAATGCAGAGATTTTTCAGTGATGAGAAGTCTCACAGATGGAAAGGAAAGGAAGAGAGAACACGAAAGAAGGGGAAAAAACCTCCAAAAGAGAAATGGAGCTCTAAATCACAAAGTATCTAGCTTTATCTCTCTCTTCTAGTTTCTATAGAAGACAGTGATGAAGAAAAGGGTATCTTCATATGTGAATTTTTAGCAAGTATTGATCCTACTAAAAAATTTGAAGCACATAATGCTTCTTCGGTAAGGAGTGGCTTGATTTAAACCTTATACCCTTATAAGAAAACTCAGAAGTAGGGAAAAGAGATAACCACCCACAACCTTTAAAGAAAAACCACAGTATTTCTCTACTTTATTGTTTTCTCAACCCAGTTGGCTTAATTCCCAATATAAAGTATTTGGTATAGTTTTTAGATGATTTGCAACAATTCCCAACACATTATTGAAGTAATATTTCCAGTTCTCCAGAATCTAAAGAGCAATACCATATTCAATTCATTCATATCCTTTGGGACTTTATAATACTTAAATTATTTTATCACATAGATACATTGTGACCAATTTACCTACTCAGGAATTGCTCTATATGGCATTTTTCACATGCTTATTTTTTTTCCTTTTTTTCCCATTTCCCAAGGTCTTTAATATCTTTTCTTTTTCAAATTAGAGAAGTAGCTATAACTCATGGTATTGTTCATATCAAAACATCATGTTTTATTACATGCATAAAGATAATAAAATAAATATTATTTATAATATATTTACCTGCAATATAATCTTAATCTCTCTATAATGATAAATTAGAATCAATACTTTCCAAATTAATCTGTATTTATTTCTAAGTCAGTTTTTCCCAAGTTATATCTAAAATTTCAGAGCCTGTTTTATTTTAAAATTAGGTTATGATTTGAAGTTTCTTATCTACATTGAAGTTCATCTTCCATTTTCCATACCACAGTCAATACCAAGAATCCCCTGGAGTTTATCATTATCAGCTTGTTATTTCACTAGCTGGAAGAATATATTGCTGCTTTAAACATTCCTTTTTACTATTTACTCCCAAGCCTTTAAATTAAAAATTTAATAATAATGCAGTGATTCAACCATCAAGTTATTTAGACTAAAAGAATCCAAGGAATACTCTGATAAGAATACAAGTCTGGGGATGCAAATTATTTTTATAGATAAAAGTGGTTGTCTTTTTATCAGTAAGTAGCTAAAGTCAAATAGAAGTACTGTGATCTAGCATTGTAACAAATATTTGTATTTGACCTTGTATCCTAGCTTACATGTACAGTTATGAGTACAAAGATATCATTACTAGATAATTGTCAAGTAAACAGGAATGTGGCTATCTGACCAAACTTCTTTTAGAGTCATGAAGTATATTCAGTGGTAAGAATTCTTTTGTTCTTTTAAAAAATTAAATTTATCTTTAAATGATAACTGATACATTAAGCCATAACTTATTCACATTTTGGGATACTGTGTGATGTTTTGATACATGTGTATGTTGCATAATATTTAAATTAGGTTAAAAATCTATCTCTTCACACATTTATTGTTTATTATAGTGAAACATTCAAACTGTTTTCTTCTAACTTTTTCTAATACACAGTATGTTATTATTATCTATTGTTACACTATTGTGCAATAGCACATAAGAAGATTTTACCTCTATCTGTATCTAAATATCCATTGATCAGCCTCTCCACTTCTTCCCTTCCCTCAAAAAAACTCTCAATGGCAAAAAATTCTCAATAGCAAAAGTCAAATTATCCAAGTAGAAACAAGCAGTAGAGCTAAATGGCATTTCTTTAAAAAAAAAAAAAAAGACATGCAAGTAGCCAATAAGTAAGAATGGCTTCCATTAAAAAGACCAAAGATAACAAGTGCTAGTGAGGATGTGGAAAAAAGGGAACCTTGCACACTTTGGTGGGAATATAAATTAGTAGACATTACCATCATTTTCCATTTCCATAAAAATGGAAAACAAAAAATTAAAAATTAAGCTACCAGGAAACTCACTCTTTGGTATATATCTAATGTAAATAAAATCAGTATGTTGAAGACACATGCACTGCCGTGCCCATTGCAACACTATTCAAACCAGCCAAGAAATGGAAACATACTAAATGTTCATCAACTGATGAATAAAGAGTACATATTATATATCTGTACACAATGGAATGGTATTTATTCATAAAAAGGAATCAAACTCTGTCATTGGTGACATTGTGAATGGAATCAGAAATTGTTATATTAAGTGAAATAAGCCAAGCATAGAAAAATAATGTATTGCTTGATGTCTCTCCTTCATGGAATTTATGAAAGTTGATCTCATAGAACTTGAGAGTGGGGGGAAAGTAGCACATTGAATTGTAAATCTTAATTATGGCTTTAATCCCAAGTTGTCTAAAGAACACATTCTCATTCACCTCATTAATATACAACTCTTTCAGGGTTTAGCAACAGAGAAGTAAATGAGCATAGGATCTGATGGTAGTTTGTTCAGGAAAATATGAAGTAGTTTGAAGGTGGGGCTGGATCTCTCCAAGGGCAGAATCTAACATATTTGTGTTGGAGTACAGAATAGTGATTTTCTTAGTATGTTTTCTTTTTAGCCAAGGATACAATTGCTTTAGTAATTCTTTCAACTTGAGTTAATTATTATGATGATGATGACTATTTTGTTCTCAGAAGTGTCTCTTACCAAATGCATTATTTATCCCTCTGTTCATTTGACAGGGCAAATATTATGTTTCACGAATTATATTGTGAAAATCCTACTTTCAAAGAATAAACTAAAAATTAGCATTCTGTTTCACTACTCCACTTTAAGCTGACTTTTCACATTATATGCATTGATGTTATGGTTTGGATTTGGTGTCCTTCAGAAGCTCATGTGTGAGACAATGCAAGAAAGTTTAGAGATGAAATGATTGGGTTATAAAAGGTCTAACCTAATCAGTAGATTAACCTCCTGATAAGCATTAAATTGGTGGTAACTGTATTCCTGTAAGGTGTGGCTGGAGGAGGAAGGTCTGTGGGAGCTGTGCTTCTGGAGTATATATTTTGTCTGTGGCAAGTGGAGTCTCAACTTTTTGGTGGTCAGGTCCTAACCTGCTTTCCTCTGCTACATACTGGCTCACCTTAAGTCCTGAGGAAAGAGCTGGTTATCTATGGACTGAAGCCTCTGAAACAGTGAGCCCTCCTCCTCAAAAAAATCTTTTCCTCCTTTAATTATTTTTGTCAGGTCTTTTGGCCACAGCAGTGAAAACACTGACTAAAACAATTGGTTAACTAAAATGACTTTGATGGAATATTCCAGATATTCTTCTCTGTTTCTGTTCACCTGAAGTCACATTGAAAAACAAAACTGAGATCTTTTTAGCAGCTCTGTTTCTTTCTTTATTGTTAGAATTTAGCCATAAATAAAATCATCTTTAGTTGTACTTTAGGAAGTCACTACCATAAGCTAGGTGACTGTTCCTTTGATTCGGACAACTCAACAGCTTTCAAATCTGCAGTAGCTGCAACGTTGGAGAAGTTATCTAATTACTTATGAAATGAATCCTACATATTGATTTACCTTGAATCTTTTGCAGTGCAAGGTGCTATATAAAATAAATATTTTTTTTTATATGAACCTCGTAAAGAGAAAATCTGGCTACAGATCCACAGTACATAAAACAGATCTGAAAGATGCCTAGAAAGGACCTAGTTTAGACAACAGTAAAAATTAGAAGTCCCACTGTTTGACAGACCCTAAAGTAATTTTTCCGTAGCTTCTTTCACTTCGTCCACCTGTAGGATGCAGATGTATGTATCCCCTTCTAAAAATCTAAGAGTTATAATATAATATTTGAAAAGTCACTGTGAGCTCCTTGAGAAAAAGTGACAACTACATTTAAACAAAAACGACTCAGTGAATGAAACCATTTTTTGACTCTTTCCTTCTTCCTCTAAAACTAGGAAAATGTGATCAAGCTCCTACCTTGTGATCAATGGAGAGAAAGGATCCTTCACTGTGACATAAAAGGACTGGAAGTAATGGTGGCTTTTCCATTAACAAATTCTATGATCTTGCTTAATTGTCTTTCTCTGATGATTAATTTCTGCAGGGGGTAAAAATAAGAATAAAAATTCCTATTAATGTATAAGATTATAAAAATTAAATGAAATAATGATAATATATGTAAAAGTTCTTTTTGAGAAATGGTGCCAATTTGGGATAATAAAATAACGAGTGTCATAAAAAACTATCTAATGAAACAATATCTAGGAGAGTTTTTTTAATTGAGTTTTTTTTGAAGACTTCAAATGCTTTAGCTAGTAATTCTGAATTTATAGAATAAGAAAACCTTGACATTGTAATTGCTTAAGAAATATATAAAACAATGATAGTTCTGATCATCATTTAAAATGATTATTTTAAACAATTATTTTCCAAAACCTAAAAGGTGGGTAGGACATTTTGTAAAGGAATACCTGTAGAGGAATACCTGTGAGGAGGTGCATAAAGAACAGGCACAGACACAAAAGTACAAGCAGTCAGACAGGATGGAGTGGAGAGAGAGAGAGAGTGAAGGGAGTGGTGAAGAAGAAGTGCAGAAGTGAAGTGTGCACTCCTCCCTGCCTGGAAGTTTACTGACTCAAAGAGCACATACCTCCTGTTACCATGACTATATTCTAATTAGTACCACTTTACCCTAAGTCCTCCCTAACTGAGATAAGGTCCAGGTTAGAAGTAACACGGGGCTCCTGCATACCAAGGGCATATCATGGAGACCAGATAGTGCCTGCATAGTTGGCTCCATAGCTCAGAGGGAGGAGGCTGGGCATCCTAGTTCTGGGAAGCAGGGAAAACTAGTGAAGGACATGCTATGGCAGCCAGGCATCCTGTGCTTTTGCACAGGAATTTCCTAGCAGCCAGGCGTTCTGAGTCTTTGCACAGAAACTTCCTAGTCACCAAACATATCACAATCACAAAGTTTGTAGACGCCAATTCCAAACACAGAATTCCTACAAAATTTTGTCTGTTTTGGTAATTTGTTGCAACTGGTTTTCTCCTCTTCTAGCACTATCAAAGTCTACTTTGTATTTACTATAGAAAGTCTACTTTGTACTTTAAAATATGTAGTAAAATAATATGTCCATAGACCATAAGTCTCCCTATCACCAGACCTTAGGCAGTAGTGAAATAAGATGTGTAAATGTTTGCTAAATGAATAAATAATGTAGTAAAGGAATGTGTCAAGAGACCATCAAGAGACCAAAGTATTCTAGATAGATGTGATCCTTAAAACAGAACCCACAGGGTACTTACCCCAAACCTCACTTTTCCCTCTCCTAGGAGAAGATGAAGATGTTTACAATGAAGGTCACAACTTGGGGTTCTAACAACAGGCATTCTTCTCTGGGTTACTATAGATTTTGAGTAGCCTCAGCATCTTAGGGCCAGTCTGGGATAATAGGGCTATTTTTTCTCTCCAAAAAGTTTTTTCCCAGGTAATATTTTATGAGTGCTGAGTTGCAATTTGTAACATCAAATACATATGAAACTTTACTTTTAATATCTGTCATAATTTATTTATTTTTCCTTCTTAGTGACTTCATAATAAGACCCCTTATAGTCAATAACATCTTAGATTTGATAAAGAAATGAATTCCAATTATACATTGCCTGCTAAGGCTTCTCACCTTTTATTTTCTTTTTTGATTTCTTGATGCTAGAGATGTTGAAAAACCTCAGATTCATTTATTCATTGATTTATTGATTCAACAAATCATAACTGAGCACTTATTTTGTAATAGATATTCATTTTGTAAGGGGTAAGATCTATAATAGGAAGGAAACAAGGACAATTCAGGAACTCATTGAGATTTCTGCTGCATATATTTCACTTACCAAAACTTTACATGATGGATATTATACTTATGCACATTTCAAATATTTTACAAATATTTTTAGTTAATTCTTCAGAATAAAACAATTTAAGTTTTCAACCAGAAAAGAAACTCAGAGGAGTAACTCACTTGCCCAAAGTTACAGAGCTACTTAAGGCATGCAACTGAGATTTGAATCCAAAATCTATTCCCCAGATTATTCTCTGAGCAGCCTTTGAGATCGAGATACAAATTTGGTGGAGATTAAGAATTGGTTTAAGGATTGGCCTCATCTAGTATGTCCAAAACTTTATGTTTTTAAAAACTTTGCAGGGGGTGGAGTACTCTTGGGATTTCAGAATTTGCCCTGTCATCAGAGTAGGAAATTTGTGCTGCTATATATTTCCCTACTGCTACTTTCTAGTCATTTTTGTAATATCAGGCAGACAGTAATGTTATCTGTAGCCTGTACAAGAAATGACTGGAGTCAAGACCTGCCACTAACTTATTGAGTTACTGTTCCAGAAGACAATAGATTCATTGGGAAGACATTTATTAGTGTCTGAAGACTCCAGGTTCTTCCCTACAGGCTGTGTATAGCACATGGCATGATGTCATGTGCCAGGAACACAAGCTTTTGTAAAACAAAAGACTGAAAAAAGGAAGAGGTGACAGAAAAATGTCAAAAAAAAATTCAGGTGTTCCTTATCACCCTTCACAACTTTGATAAGGCTGCTCAGATCACAAAACAGCACATGATTGAATATTTTGTGTATAATAACATTCTGGAGAAGTGTGAAGAATTGCTCTTCTGGTGTTGGGAAGGTGACTGAGCAGTTGACTTTAGATGACAGAGCAAAGGTTGAGAAGAATGAAGGATGCAAATTATTTGAGTGCAAGCTGTGAAACTAGACATCTGGAAGCTCACCTAAGTTTTCATGAGTTAGGTAGTTTATGTTTATCTATGTATAATCCCTATGTTCTTTTGCTCCTTTCCTGCCATTTATGTACCTGACCTTACCCACAGAGACTTTGAATATCTATTTTCTACACCTGTATCCGTTTGACTGGTATCATGTCTACTCACATAAAAACTAAAAAATACGAAATAACTGAGATCAGACACTTTTACAAGGTGCAAACTCAAGTGGTGAATTTGACAGTAGTCTCCTTGTGATCATCTCATTACATCATAGGCTCAACATATAAAGTTAAATCATGAAATCAAAATTTGCTGTGGTATCTGCACCTTAGATTTTCATATTTGTACATACACACACACACACACACACACACACACACACACACTTATTTAACTTTAGAATTCCAAGCAGAGAAGCATATTTCCAAGATAGAGCTAAAGTAGTGTATTAGGGTTCAATGGAATTGAATTCTTATAGATTACTAGGATGGACAGAGGTAGGAAATTAGCCGCAGCAGAGAGCCCATTATTACTGTCGGGAAATTGGGAGAGAAAAAGGAGGGTTCTCTTGAGCTGGTTCTCTTGCCAAAAAGTGAAAGTGCTTCAGAAAATCCACATTACTGCACAAACAGTAATGCTGGTCATGGAGGTGAGTATTTTATGGTCAGGAGTCATATGTTCCCTTTTGCATCACCTGATACAGAGGGAAAACTCCAACTTCAAACAAGAGTAGTGTTGTACTCCATTTTCAATTTGTATTGACATTTGGGGAAAATATTACTTGACTTCCTGTCTCCTTTTGCTAAAAATTCCACCACAGAGGTATGTACAAGGGAGAATGTGTATGTGTGTGTATGTATGTAGAAGGATGCTCTTGGGTGAAGCTGATAATTGACTTTCAGGGAGATTATACAGTGAGGCTCTTTTCCTTTATCCCTGAATGCAGTTGGGATAAATCAAACAGAAAGGAAGTCTGGGAGTGAAAACATGACTAACAGGAAGCGTACAGCTAAAGGCTATGTCACAGGAGGGTAAAAGGAAGGTGGTTATCACTATTCTCAACTGGTGGAATTAACTGATGGTGTATAATCTTGAATCACAAACCATTTGTAAACACCAGTTACCAGGACCGATTCCTTCTTTAATCATGCACTTCTCTTACTCTCACAGGCAGGGAATCTTCCTAAAATATATGTGAATAACATTGTAGGAATTAGTCAAGCTGAAACTACCCAATGGTGCTTTGAACTTCATAAAATCTAACATAAATGAAATGATGCAATGAAAATATTGCTGATTTTTACCACCAAAGCTCTACATACTTTTATAGATGTTTTCACTAATATGAATACAAAGTTTATCTTCTATTTCTATAATTGTTTGTCCTGGAAAAATTCTGTTCTTAATAGGAAGTGTGTGTCATCGGTATGATTCATTTTACTCCATAACATGAACTATTCTTCCAACCTATAATTTGCCAAGATTTTTATTCTGTCATTACCTTTGCCCCACACTTTGATTCTAAAATTTCCTGACAGAAGAGGAACTGTAATACTCTAAATGGAGCACTTATTTGGACAGCATCCTGTTTCTGAACCCTCCTACTAACATGGTACACATACTCATATCTACTAATAGTTCAACTTGTTAGCTACTAAAATTTTCATCCATGAACTGTTAGTGGACACAGGGCTTCTAGTATTTTGAGAATGTCACTGTGTGAACAGAAGCCTTTTTAACCTAAATATTGCTATTAAGCGGAGGGACACTACTATGACTTTCCAAATCAAATGAAATTTACCTTGATGCTGTTGTAGATGGAAAAGGTGATGCCTTCCAATTTCTTTTTATGTTCAAAAATACAATTTGTTTTACCTGAGGAACAACTTTAAAGAACCTTTAGGATTTAAAGCATGGGTAACAGCGGTTGTCTCTAATTGCTTTTACAGTTTCTGCACTTTTCCAAATGTTTCCTTCAGAAATAAGCTGGAGACTCTTAACTAACACATTTATCCAAATCAAAGATATAATTAGCATTCTGAAAAACATGGTAATAGCACAGGTCTTTATTACACACTATGCTATTTAAGCCTGAGATATTTTTAACTCTTCCCACTGGGACATGTTCCTATTTTGGTTTTCACGTTTTATTAGATCTTTACTGCATAAAATACTCTGAAAAATTGGAGATATTTATGCAAAGCACAACAGTTTTAATTGTGCTCATATTACTCTATTATATATTTATTGATTTTCTCCACAAAATATTCATGGTTTAGATGTTGAAAATACAATGATGCAGGAGATAGACAAGTTCTCTGCCTTCATGGAGTGATGCTTTGGTTGGGGGACAAAGAAAATAAACATATTAAATAAATAATA